CTAGTAAGAATCCTGTAGCTGAGAATATGTTTTCAATAAATTGTACAAATGCATTTGTATTTTAAATTGTCTCCAGTAAACTGATGGACAGGTTCTTTAAGGAATGAATTAGATGCTAGTTATTTGCACAATGATTTATGATAAACACTATTTTAGAAACAATATTATTTTAAAAATAATTATAGCTAATAATTAAAGTAAACCAATAGGAGAATGGTTCACATTGAGCACTCATTAAGTTATAAGTTGATTATCTAATTTTAGGACACATAGGTGTTTTCAACTTGATATTAGTCTGCTGTTAATTTCAGTGAAGTAACTGCAGAAACAAGGGTCTTATATATTTAAAATTGTATAAAATAAGAAAAATATTTCATGTGCAAACTACTAGTTATTTACATGTTTCAGCTTTGCTTTTAACTTTAATGTAATCATATCTCCCAGAAAACTGCATCTCAACCATATTGATTTTCAATGAATTCATATAATTAGGAGGTGATTTTAGTTAGAAGCATGAATTTTGGACAGTGAAAATCTGAAACAAAATGTCCTGTATCATTTTTCTAGACATATCTGAACTTAGATATATACTAAAATCCAGTTTATTCACATGCTTTTTAGCTTTGTAATAATTCTTTGATTATCTATTTGATAAGATAACGAAGTGAATGTTAAATCTCTCTACAGTGTTTCACTATTAGTTGCTCAGAAAACATTACTCATGTGGTAAACAGCATCCTTGGTGTTGAGCCTCCAAAGCCTTATTTGTAAAATGCAAACTGTTTGTTTCATTTGCCTCCTCTTCTTATTAGTCTTTTCTTTGAAATTAGATAATTTAATCTCACTCTGTGGCTCTTACCTACATTAAATATGAATTTTAATATAATTTAATAATTCAATTTCTATAAAAATATTATAATTCTTTAAGATTATCAGATGGAACTAAATACTTTTCCTAGTCATTCAAACTGATTAAATTGGATAAAAATAATACTATGAGTGGTTTTACTTGTATAGCTAATATCTGATATTTTATATTTTAACTTCTCTTTAATAGAATGATAGGCAGATTCATTAGGGAATGGATCAAATGGTAAATTTGAAATCATCTGATAGATTAACATAATGAACTATATCAAGAGTAAACAACATGTTCACAAATTGACAAAATATAGATTTAATTATTATTTGGAAATATTTTCTGAAAGTTTGAGTCAGCTCAGTAAATACTCTTGAAGTATTTACTGATTATGATTTTGATTATCAATTTAGATATTCTTTTTAGAAAACTTCTCTGACAACTTCATAATCTTTGAAAGTCTCATTATTGGGTAGTTCAGCGGCATAAGCGCCTGCCTTGCAAGCAGGCACTCTTGAGTTCGGTCCCCGGTACCGATAAAAAGGAAAAAGACAAAAAAAAGTCTCATTATTACAATATATTTGTAATTCTATATTTCTAATTTTTAAGTGTGTGTGTAACTTGTACTCATTTTAATAAATTATTTCCCCTCAACATGCTGTAAAGGAAGTGATTTACTAATTTAAGGTTCTTAAATTGTTCTAACGTTCCCTATTTTTATAATTCAGGCATTCCATTATTTTACTTTGAAATCAATAGGATAAATTGTAAGCAATTGAAATGAAAATATTAATTTTTTACATTACACTTTATGTGACAAAAACAGTATCTCAACTCATTGGTCTCATTGATGATATGTAGAGCTGGTTTCTTGACTTAAACATTTCTTGTTGCTAAAAACTATTTGTGTAAATACTAAACAGGAGTTAAAGAAGCAAATTTACTCAAATATGTTTTGAGATTACCATTAAGAAATTAGTATTGTTTTCCTTAAATGAAAGCATGTCTTGCACACTATTACTTTGTGATTGATGTGTAAATTTCATTGCAACAATGATTATTAAATTTATTGATGAAAGTCAGAAGGGTTGGAAAATTGTATATAGTTATAACAAATGTAATTATAACAAAATTCACTTTTACAATAATAAATATATATGAAAAAATGAATTTTATCAAACTATTGGATGCCATTTTCCCTTGATAAAGCAATAGTTAGCATTCATGGTAGCTATTTTAAGTACTGCTTGAGATCAAGACCACTTCTCTTAAGTATCTACTTATCTGTTGGTAGGCAACTTGATAATGTATAGCTTTATTGATATTAAAGTGGTTTGATCGGTTGAGAAATTTATTGGGAAATTGTTACAAAATATTTTGATAATTTTCAAAAATGATCATTTTTAATTTTTAAATTAGTAAATATTTACCTTTTATATCACTTTGCTAGGAAAATACATAACAGATTTAAGGTATTGGTCTAGCAAATATAAACACTTTGTATTTAAATTTTTTTGATATTCTCATTGGATCAAATTTTGATTTGCTTGAATAAAATTTGAAGGGATCTAAAAACTAAAAGCTGAACCATGGTACTTTGTTATGCTGACAGGTAAGATAACTTGATTTCAGTAACATCATGCAAGTTTTCCTGTGCACCCTTTCACATGCTGTACGTAGAATCTCTTTCACTATTACTTTTCTGCTCTATTCAGCAAGCTCTTTGTATGCAACGTTTGAAATGACAACATCATAACTGAGTTAAATGTGCAGTACATTGTTGGTAAAGTTTTGAATGAATGTTTCTTTCCAATTATATGTTGAATGCCTAGAAAGACAAGTGTTGCATATTTTCTCCAATATGTAAGAATCTGAGGAACAAAAAGCAAATAGATGACATGAAGACACGAGGGGGAATATTACAGAAGAGGAAGAGAAGAAGGGAAAGGAGAAAGAGTACGGGCACTGAATATGATTGAAGTATGCTCCGTGCATACATAAATCTGCCAAAATGAAATTCATTAATCTGTGAAAGTAATATGCATAGACAAAGGACTGGCTACTGTAAATCAATATAATGTTAGAACATAGGAATATTATATCAGATAAACTTCACATATATATTAAGCATTAAGAATCTTTTGACAATTCTTCCAAATGTTTCTGCAAAGCAAATAATTTTAAGGATATTAATGATCATTACTGATTGTCATATTATAGTGGGCAAGAAAACCACATGGCAAAGAGGTTTATTTTTATGCCTGAATCCTACAATTTGGAGCTAAAGAGATGTTATTAAGAAGTAATAGAAACTGAAAGTTTAGGGCCGTATTTAACACATGTGAGATATCTTGGTTCAGTCCTCAGCACCCACTCAAAAAAGGAAGGAAAGAAAAAATTGTCATTAAAGGTTCTTTATATTTCTTAAAAGTGACAGCCAATTCATTTTAATTCTGCATAAAACTAAGTTTGTGAGTATTTTTATTTAGGAGATGTTAAATTTTACTACCAGAGACTATTTGCCCTTTTGAAAATAAATGTTTTATTTAGACTAATTTCTAGGTAAAGTATATGATATATTAGGCAGTTTAACATTTTTCATCATTATTCCTTTTCTGACAGTATGGTCATTTATACATATGAAATTATAACTTAATAATAGTTCTAATATTTCTAAATAACCATAAGCCTTCAATGAATGTCAATAGCATTGTTAAAATGTAGGCTGTAATTTACTTTATTGAATTTATTTTCTGATAATACTGAATCAGTCCTGCTGACTATTGATACCATCACTTATTGTCCCATAGTAATACAAATGTTGAGACAAGTGATTTCAAAACTAAATTAATTTAAAGGATGAATCAATTATTATAACTTTTTGGAAACATATTTGCACATATTGATAAATTAATAATGTAGAATAACAGTGTTTAATTGTGGCAGAAAATGAACTGATGTGGAACTGTAAAGATTATTTACAAATGGAAAAATGGTATTTATGTCAAATAGGTATGCTGATGTTGGATATTACACAGGAAATGACACATGTAATATATTCATTTTTTAAATACTTGGAGACATGGTAGAGAAGCTTATAGAATATTCTTCAAAGAGAAAACTGATTCAAGTTACAGAAAAGTAGAATGAACATATTTGGTTTGTAATAGAATTTAAACCTTCGTGATTGAAAATGGAATTTCCAGACATCTCTGTGTAATACTTTGGGTAATTTAAGGACAGTGGGGTGGGAAAATGGAAGAGAAAAATTCCTGGCATCTCCTAGAACAATGGATTCTCCATAAATTAATTCTGTAAATGCTTTTGTAGTCATTTATAATTGAGTTTCTTCAGAATGTGCTGGATTTGTTTGCATGATTTTCCTATATTCAAGTTATAGTTAACTATCTAATTAGGATAATTGTAGGTTACATTCACTATTGGTTAGCGATGCAACTCACAGTATATTGAAAATATGTTTCTGACTATTGTTAATATTGTTTTCCGTAATCTATCATTAAATAAAGTGATTATTTCAGGTATATTACATTGAATGATTTGTGCTTTAAGAACATTTTGCTTTAATAGAAAAATATGGAGTATCATCAGATATTTGGCTTGTTCTTTAAAAGATAACTAATTAAGGCATACACATTAATACAAAGAAATGATAAGTAAAACATGTTATATTCTTAATGAAATTGTGTTTTTCTATGAGTCTATAAAATTTACATATCACTGTCTCACATAATGAACTTACTTTTTGGTAAGTTTTCTAAGAGTAAAATAAGAAAATAAATTAATGATTCAAATATAATCTATTTTAGTCTCAAAATATGTATGTTTTTCAGAATAGATACTGAGATCTAATATTATTTCAATCCAAAAATGTTTTCAAGTCAGTATTTCAATTTCAATGTTAAAAATAGAGCACTAAAACATCTCAGAAATTATAAGGATTAATAAAGTATTTCAATTTTGGATATATTAAACTAACAATGAGACACAAATTAGTGACGTGAAAAGACTAAAATTCTGAGAAAACATGACCTTATTATTTTGATACGCCTAAGGTTTATAAACTCATATTATGAACTTCAAATATTAAGGAATGCACATAAAAAGAATTATAAACCCAAAATTCTGAAAAAAATATTTTATAAACATTTGCATAAACATCTACATTATGCTATTTAAAAATTGTCATGCATGGAATATGTAAGGATACGTAACCAATCCAAGTTCAGGAAGTGAACAGAATCATGAGGACAGTGTGTTTAGAAAACTAAAGCCACAACTAATTACAGATGTAGAGGCTAAAAATATTGCAAAGGATAGAACTTCCAGTTTTATACTCTCCCTCTTTCTTTCTCTGACTGTCTCTAATATTATCACACATACAGAAATGTTTATCTGCACATATTTAAAAAATATGCTTAAGCATTTGCATACATACATATGCAAAATACACATATACAGTATAAATATAACATATAGACATAATATACACACACGGATGTGTATGTAAGCGGAGGAGTAAGGTTGTAGGTGCACAAAAATACGCAGTGTTTTCGGTGTTTATCCAAAATATAGTGAAAATATACTTTTTCTCTTTAGGTTTAGAAATTATTAAAAATAAAGCAGAAATAAACAAGAATAAAGAACTAATCAAAGCCTATGTAGTTATGGCTGTTTCTTTCCTAACAAGAATGATCCCAAACTGAAGAGAAGAAATTCAAAGTAGTAAAAGTCTAAGCATTGAAACTCAAGCAGACCAAGAAATAATCTACCTAATTTAAGTTTGGACATCATTTCCGAGTCTCCTTACTGGCAGTGAACTGAAAATTTTATGAGCACTAGAAAGACACCAGAAAGTTGATATTTTTTAAACAGTTAAAAAGGTGTTAAAAGCTTCATGAATGATGTTATAGATGTGTTCCTTGAAAAGAGTATTTTGAGTGGGAATAGTGGCAATGTGTTTTTTATTGCAATAATTTTTAAAATTTAAACATATACCAAATATTTTCATCATTTGTGCCTTTTACTCCATTATTTGTCAGCATAGTTTCTATCATAGCAATATAAAATAACCAAAGGATACTAGCCCAAGAAGAGTGTGTTCAAGTCTTAAACAAATTTAGCAATGTCAGATAAAGACATATAAATGACACATTAGTTACCCAATTATATAAACTGGAAAGTATCTATAAATTGCACAAGTTATGGGTTTCAATTATAAAATGCTCACATTAATGTTTTTATGTATAATTTTATATCTGTACTTGTTATTGCTTCTAAAATGCACATTTTTTAAAAAATAGTATATTTTCCAAATTTTATTGTGCTTTTACAAGATAAATTTTTTTGTTACCCATAAATGTTGGGAAGTCTCTCTTAAGGAGAAATTTATCTATTGTAAGTAAACTTTGGGGTTAACTTAAATTTGTATAAAAATACGAGATATTATTTAAGGGATATGTCATATTTTGTGCTTCAAATCTATCAGGAACATATTTTCATGATGATTAAATGACTCAGCTACTCATATTAATGCCTTTCAATGGATTCTTAAAACAAGGCAAATAATCTATATGAATATATAGTTTATTATATATATATTATTATTAAGCATATATGTTTACTACAAAAAGAGGTCACATAATACTTTATATATTAGTTAAACCTAATTGTAATTTTAGCTTTTTGCATATGAAACAAGATTACCACATCTGTACTCATAGTTTTTATTCATAGGAAATGCGATACTAAGCCATGTAAACTATGTTTATTCAGATTCTTTTTTGGAAAGACTGAGGTTATTTGCTCCTAATTAATCTTAAAGAAGATGCTTCCTTGGTCAATAATGGTCTTTTCGTATAAAATATCAGAAGCCCTTAGATGACCAACTGACTTATCCAATCTCAGTTATATTAATAAAAGGATCTAAAAATAAAATGTGGCTTATTTTTGTAACATATTTGCATTCATTATTCTCTAGTAAACATTGATTTGCCTTACACACTCAACAATCTTTACTGAAGCATTTTTCATAAACTAAAAGATGGCAACAGTTTTCCTTGGAAAACATATTCTGAAAAGAATATCTAAAAGTCTACAGCTCATTTGTTATAATCTATCTAGGTTTTGATAGTATGTATCTTTGGGATAAAATTGTGTACCTTTTGCCATTGAGAGTACAGACATATATTAATAATTTGTGATATACAGTGTTATCCAGCTAGCTGATTAATAAAAGAAAAATAAAATATGAGAAAATATTTAAGTATCTGGCCAGATCCTCTAAATCAAGGCAAAGATAGAGGAATTGGCAGTGTTTACATTTTCTTATGAATTTAAGACTTAGGTGTGCCACAATATTTTAATATTCACTTTCTTAAACACCATAATGTTCTTCAACACTATAGTAACTGACTAAAAGAAAACACACAATAGATTTTATATAAAGAAAAGAAAAATTTTTTCTTTTAGTCACATTATTTCAATTTAAGTGATTTAGAAAGGATAAATAAATAACATATCCCAGTTTTAGAATATATCATACCTTTGATTACGAGGATTGTGTTCTAGGATAGAAGAGAAAACACAAAGATTTCCTCTTTTCTTCTTACCATCATACAGATGCACACACACACACACACACACACACACACACACACACACACACACCATAGATATGCTTAATGTGTAATGGAATTTTTCTATAAGCACTTATAAAGCAGCATTTGTTTCTCTTCATAATGGGTTACTTTGCTTTTGCTGCCCATCTGAAAATCAAAAGTATGAGACAAATCTCAGAATATTCAGAGAAACTCATCTTCACAGGATAGCCATACCTTGTTAACAACTGATTGGTTTGGAACTGATCAATGTTGATACTCAAAACATTTTGATGCAAAAATTTTGTCCCTGAAATTTTCATTTGTTTGGTACTCAATATTCAAACTACAACTTGTAGTTGTTGATTGCCTAGGAAGGTGCTACCCATTCCAGCCCAGACAAAATTCATTATTTTGGTACTTGTCCTGCCTTCCAGAACCAGTTAACAAATATCAAAGTACCACTGTCCAGGAAGGAGGACTGAATTGGTGTAATGGAAGAGTAGAGTCACAATTGCCCAACCCCTGATAGTAAACATGTAGCTCTTTGTTTACTATTGGGATTTATATGGCACAAAGCATCAACTAGGACATCCCGGAATTATTTCACAATGTGATAATATGGTTTATGAAACCATTATGCTGGGTATTTTAAAATGGCAGAGTTTTCTTTCTCTTTTTCTTTTTTTTTTTTTTTTTTTTTTTTGTCTGATCTACATACCAAGAGAATACAAAGCTAATCAACACAAAAGACAATCTCCACGCAAGGAAAGAACTTTGTCTGGTTACTGGTGATTTATCTGGTTTCTATAATAAATAGTTCTGCCAGCACAAAAAAATCAGCTAACGTGTGTGGTTTTTATTTTCTTCTTTATGTCATTATATTTCCAAAATGTCTGTGATAATTGCAATAATTCAATCATGTGAAATGTTTAGAAAATATAAAATCCAATTCTATTATCTGCACATAGTGAAATGCCTTACAAACAAGTTAATTAAAGACTGTCTCTGTTTTCTAGCAAATGCATGAATTAAATATAATCTGTGCTTTTGTTTTTTGTTTTTTGCTTTTGTTTTGTTTTTAAATAATCTGAAAACACGGAATTTATCTATATTGTTGTAAAAGGGAAAGTAGAAAAGACTGCTTCCCACAGAAAATTTATTAACAAGAAGTGCTCAATTAAATGTTTCTAAGCAATGAACAGTATTCCCTTTCATATAAATATTTAGTCAAATGATTTTTCTTTTTTTTTTCATTTCCATAGCCCTACTTACATATAAAATTATAGACACCAATTCACAGTAGACATACAGAACTCAAGGAAAATCTAAATTTACAAGAAAAATAAGATTATAATTCTAACCAACTGCATATTCACACAAATGCTTGATAAAAATTATCTGTTGGTATGATGTATTACTTCAGTAAATGTATACAGTTGGTGAGTACTTTTCAAGAATCACCATCCAAAAATCAATATTTTTCTTTCCTTCTAAGACTTTCATGTTAAAGTTTGATAGCTCAAATTGTGAAGCTACGAATATTTAAAAATATAAAATATAAGTAACATTAAATATAAGTAACATTAACTATGGAATGATATTCAACATCAAAAATGAAAATGAACAAAAGGGTGTATTAGATCAAAATTTTGTTGACAGTGTATAAATCAAACTTCCAAGATAAATAACTTTGCTTTTAGCATACTGCATCCATTGCTTTCCTTCTAAAAGACAAAAGTGACAAAAGAGGAAAATAGAAAAATAAGAAAAGAAAAAAAGGAAACAAACAAAAAAAAAAAGAAAGAAAAGAAAAGAAACAGGAAACTCTGTTTCAGGAGTTGATTATTCTGATTTAATTGGCTAAGAAGTCCAAATGCTAATACTCCTAATAATTAGCCATTCCTTTTGTGTTTTGGTGACACATATCCTCATACAATATATGTTAAATGGAATTTTTTGATTAACTTCTGACATTTCAAAGTTTCCATTTTTGAATTCCCCCAGTCTTAAGTAAGTATCACATGTTCTTGCTCGTAAATTAAGATTAGTTTTTTTGCCAACATCCAGGGCTCCATGATGCAAAATATCATTTTGCCGATCTTCTGTTCCGGTACTTACTTTAATTTTTTTAATTACAATTGGATTGTCAAAGACAATAACAAAAATATCTCCTTGTGAAGGTGGCTTTCCCCAAAAGTACTCATCAACACTGCTGTAAGCCTTACTTGCTTCATAATTTTCAAACACGTTCATATTCGTGTATAGATTTGCAGGAGGGTTATCAGGGATGTCAAATGACTCCTCTTCAAAATCGTCATCCTTTAGTTTATTCTCAGTGCCTTTATATGAGGAGTAATAGCCCATGTGCTGAAAGAGAGATGGTTTAAATCGGATGACGTTTTTCTGTGTCAAAAGATCCCGGAAATGAGTCAATAGCCAATCACAAGGCATTTCTTGATAAAACATTAATAAAAAATGTGCCAATCGTGGAAGATCATGGGAATGATAGAGTTTACCAATGTAGCCAAGTTTAGAGAACTCAAGAGTTACCCAGTAAGTTCCTTCTAATGACGCAATCACCTTCTTGATGGCAGTTAAAAAATTTTTGGAACATCGGACATCATCTTCAAGCATTACATAATAGTCTGAAGTGTTGGCACAAAAATTAAGCAGAAAAGCATAATCTACATTTTGCTTGGAACGAAATTTGACTCTGTCTTCCGGATCATTATAATTTCTTTTAAGACCATCCAGGATTGGGTAATATTCCTCGGGAGCATGTATTACCATTAATCTTCCTGCAATAATATGATGAGCAAATTTCTGTGTAATGTCTTGCACTATGACATCACGCCAGGATGAATTAAAGTCTGCTAGATGAACCACTACTGAAATTTCTTTCAGTTCTTCATAGCTGGACTGCTCAAAAATTGATTTTATTGTATCAAGTAAATAGTTTCCTTTCCTTCTCTTCACTGATGAAATTCCAATAGTAAGATACCCTGAACAAAAATAAAGAAGGAAGAAAAATTAAATATGGGATGGTTTTAGAGTAACAGACACAGAAAAGATTTTTTTCCTGTAGGGTTGATATTACATTAAGTAAATATAGTGAATGATTATATATAGAACATTACATAAACAAAATATTAAACTAAATATAAACTCATTTCAGTTTATACATAAATGATATTTTTATTGAAAATAATTGCATGTTAAGCATAATGTAAAGGTTCAATAGCGGTGATGCAAAATATAGTTGTTTAAAATTCTGTAGCTTTCATACATGCATTTCATACATACCCACTGCAGAAAAGAGATTGATGTTAGACAATATAGAAGTTGTTTTTTTAAAAAAATCTATATTTAGGGGAAGGAATTTCCACTTCAGATTGACAAAGTAATCTCCAATGATGACAAAGAAAATTATTAATAATTTATTATTTTAATTATATTTAAATTTCTCATAGAAAATATGTATTTTCATTTTCATTGTCCTTGTCTTATAAAAGAATTCATAATTGGAGTTTGACAATTTTAGTTTGAAATCTATCTTACATATAAACTAGATAATAAAAAATATCATGAGATTAATATAAAACTTCTTTTCCAAATGTATTTCACATCATCCTAAGACATGAACATTACTTTAAAAAATTTAAACACATTTTATTATGTTAATATTATCTGGGAAATTTTTCAGTTTGAGATGTAGAATCTAAAAGAAGAAACTGAATCTTTTTAGAGAAAAACAAAACTGAGAAAAGACAGTTCTTCTCTGAAGAATATTTGATATCTTTCTATGAAATACTTTCATGTTTTAATGGTCCCATACTCACATAACTCAGAACTGAATAAAAATTATATATCACCATTTGGAAAGTGACAAAATGTTATATGAATCATATTCATTGTGTTAATATAGATGCCTATGTGATTTGATGTAAACGATACTGAAAAAGCTCTAAGAAAAATCTTTCTTACTAATCTAAATCAAGATTTACATGTATTTTTATCTGGGCTTAGAACTCTGGCTTCGACGAAAAACCCAAATATTTTATTTGCAACCGTTATCAACATTTAAGCCACCATCTTTCACTCATAGTCAATAATGCCCTACACCTATGAAAAACTTTTTATACAATAGACAGGAAAGTATGCAATTTTATCTGCTATATATATCTCAAATACTCATAATGGACTTCTGGGATAGGTTAGCTATTATGATTCTGCTTTACAGATGAGGAAAACAAGTCCTAACATAGCGAGGTAACTTGTGCAAATTGTTCTTACACTTAGGCAAGTTGTGTGATGCAAAGATTCAAGCTGCCTCTTTTTTTTTTTTTTTGTACAGGGATTGAACTCAGGACTTCATGCTTGCCAGGCAGGCACTGTGCTGCTGAGCTACATCTCCAGCCCCAAGCCACCTCATGTTTGTCCTCTACCTTAAAGTCATGACATTTATGCCAACAGACATTAATACATTTTGCATAAAGAGGAATCAGTAATGTTTACACAAGGAGGGTGTGAAGGTGGTTTCAATCAGGGTGACAAAAATTTGTGGCAGCCTTATAGGAATGAAATGCAGATTAACAACGCTAAACATTTGCAGTAGGATGAAAGGAAAATAGCTCTAAAGAAACCTAAATCAATTTATCAGTTTCCTCAACTTAGTGTCACAACCACATTGCGTAAGTACTTCTCAAAAGGGGAACAGTTTTTATGGTTTCCACATAACTTGTTAAAAATTTAACTGAATCACTGAGTATTTATCTAGTTATTAGTACATATTTGCAGTGCATTCAGTTTATAGTCATCTTGAGTAGAATCTAATGTATTGTAAATTTGTATTTTTCACACTGAAATATTTAAAAATAATTTGCATATTTTAACGCATGGTGTCTTACAATTAAAACTGGTAATTCTTGCTCTGAGCAGCCTATCAGATATTATTTCTTTAATAAGCTACAATGTCTTAGGATGTATAAACTGCATTATGCTACATTTTGGCATCAAGTTTTTTTTAATGAATATACTGTGTTGCATAGTCATGCATATCTGAAAACTAAGAATGTGACCTTTTAGGAAGTAGAGTAGTTGCTGATGCAATTAGTTAAAAGTCTTTACATGAAGTATTTCTAGATTTAGAACCAGGTCCTGAATGCAATCACTGAGGCCTTATTAGAAGACTCACAGTGACAAAGGAAACAAAGCTACTGATGATGGTGACTGATATTGAATCTATGCTGTCACAAGCCGAAGATGACCATGGGACACCAGCAGGCAGAAGAGCCAGGGTCGGAGACAGAATTACGAATGTCATACACACACATCCAGATTGGAATGATGCCACGGGATACGTTTAGCATGAAGCCACTGTCAGTTATATCATTCAGACCCAACACGGCAGGTTTCAGAAGACACTCTGACACCATCATGATAACAGCTCCATTAGAAACCTTCTTGTTCTTATTGCTAGCATTGTTTCAAATGCATGACCCACTGACTGACTGTCATCTAGGGTCCTGTGTAAGTTTTGTCAGTTAATAAACTTGTAGCAGTCAATTTGACGTAACTTCACTTTTTGCTGTTTTTGATATTTAACAACTCAAAACCCTCCATCATTTTGATGGAGTGCTGACTCTAGATAGTTATACTTTTCTCTCCCTAACCAGGTGTTCATTGCCATATCAGTTTTAAATAAACTAATTTTTCCCTACCTAGTCTGTCTCAACTTACATTTTTGGGCGACAGATTCTAGTTTAGAACATTTGGAGGTAGTGCAAAACCTGCCAGTACAATGGCAGGTTCTGGCCTCTAGAATCATGAAAGAATAAATTGTTTTCTGTTTGCTTTTAGCATCATACTTTTCAGTAATTATTATAGCACTTGCAAAATGTAATTCATTTACCACCACTCACTCAAAACTGGTGGCAAGTCATAAAATCAAACCATGCAAAATTGAAAAGATAGCAATGCAGACAGCATGATTTTGGACAGTTAACTTTTAAATTTTGAAGTAAATTAAGTTTTCTTGTTTCCTCTACTGTCCTGCAGAAAACTGATAAATGTCCAAGTAAAAATTAGGTACTTCAGTATTTTCATTTTTAATGAAATTTGGTGAGTTGTTTGTATTCTGTGAAGAAACACTGAAGGTTTCCTTAATGTGTATTACATTAATGAATCTCTTAATTTTGTATTATGATAAAAATGAAACAAATGCCATCATGGTCACATAATGTATCTATGCAGTCTTTTCTGTAAAAGCAAAAAGATACTTACGCTTTCTTTGTAAAGGTGTGGCGGCTAGGTAGCGATAGGTAACATTTATAGCTCCTGAAAAATTAGATAAATCCTTGAAAGTATGAATATAGCGTTCTGAATTGAGTTGATGCGTGGATGTTTCCCTTATTAGTTGTTTGTTATTCTCCTAAATGTGAAGAAAGAAGCAGAAAAAAATAAATATACGATAGGTGGTCATGAATAATTCTCCTTCTTATACAGTGAAGAAAAACTTAATAGGAAACGCTATGTAAGTCTCAATTACTGATCTCATAATTTGAAGACTACCATCAGTCACCTGATTTTCTAACTGGAGCCCCTGTGCTAAGTTCTCTTTCCTTTAATCCTTTCTTTTAAAAAAAGTTGTTACTAGTACATGTTAATAATACGCCAAAACACAATTTATTTTGGAAAGCCAATATAAGGATTCAATTTGCCTTAGTCAATTTCAGACCTACAGATTTCCAACTTTTCTTTTCCCACACTTTAACCTACTCTATAGAAGTCTACCTCAAGCTTTCCTTTCTTTTCTCCTTTATTTTAATTCTTTATTAATCTATTCAGTTTCCTTATATTTCATTCTTCATATTATAGTTCATTTGCTCTTTTACAGAATACACAAATATTGTCATTTTCTTCATTATTAAATGTTTACAGAAAAATTTCCATGGACTCAGGTTAATACTCAATTTTTTTTTTTTTACCATAACTATGGATCTTAAATTTTGGTGTCAATTTATGCTAGAGTTTCATCTGATATTAGTTTCTATCAAATTCCCCATGTTTCAATTATTTAATCCACATACTCTTCCTCAAGCATTGTCAAAAACAGAAAATATTATTTATGTGATTGTGAAACTTTAGAAATCGTTATGAAGATGCAGCAGTGAAAAAAACACTATTAGATAACCTTTTTTTTTTTTTTTTTTTTTTTTTTTTTTGTAGCTCAGCAGTACAAGGGTCTGCCTGGCAAGCATGAGGTCATGCATTCAATCCCTGGTACCAAAACAACAACAAAAATTAAGAATTTTCAATAAAACACTTATATGTTCAGTGTAATTGAAAACTGCTGGGAATAGTCAGCCATTGTCCTTGTGACACGGCAGTATGTTTTGGTCAAATATTCTCAAGTATCAGTGAAGATACATTGGTCTCAAATAAAGGGGATGTGCTCAGCTCTTTTTGAAACTTGTTTTGTGTATGTGTGTAAGTCCAGATGTGTTTTATGAGGGATTCTGTTGTAGGGGAAATCTGAGTCTTTTTAGATTAATATCCTTTTTAATCCATGTAATAGTGGATTTTTCACATGATAACATTTTATAATAGACATTTTGAAAAATAAGCAAATTCACATTAAATATATCTTGGTAGCAATTAACTGTTTTCATTTTTCTTCATTCTTTGATATAATTTCAATCATAGAAATTGATTATCTAATCACTATTTTACCAAACCTTTGTTATACATTATTAGCATAATGATGATATATTTGGCTTATGTATGTCAGTTATTACTATTTTGGGGGGCACTATAATTAGCAAGAGTATATTTGAGGAGGCTTTTTAAAAACACACACTTCACTATCTATTGTTATATTGATCTATTTCTTACTACTCTGTTTAGGATTTAATGCCACTCATGAAGATAAAATAAAGTGTAAAATCATTAAGTATTATCTGTCTTGATATTATTTGTTTGTGGTCAATAAACATTAATTAAATCTCTTGTTCTAGAAGATTGGACATAACATGTATTTTATCTTGATTGGAATATCCAGTATTCTCAAAAAGATGATGAAGTCAAAAATTTCATGTCTACAACTACACTGTAATGTTCAAAAGCTACATTAGTAGACCATGACTAGACATTTATATAATTTCAGTATGGCTCTTATTAAATGAAGATTCATTCTGAATATCATTTCATATTTCCAATTATACTTGTGAACCTATATTTTTGTTCATTTATGTATTCTTATATTTTATGTTGCTCTGATAATTTGAAAAAAAAAGAAAACTTCTCTGATCTTTTTCAAGGTTTTTAATGTATTTAACATCTGCGTGAGCTATGGAGGTTTGAAATAACTGAAATTATACCCTAAATATTGAATATTTTGTGTACCATTTTAAAACTATGCTCCTTATACATAAGTATTTTCATCTGTTTCTACAAGTAAACCTATAAAAATCATTAAAGCTTCATAATAAACAGTTAGGATTGTCAGAAAGTAAGGAGGTTCTAGGCATCAACTCCTTTCATAGTAATGCAGTAGTGTACCTTATTAATATAGAATGTATAATAACTTCTATGACATTCACAGTGGTCGTGATGATATAGAATTTATTTTACCATTCTGTGTTATACATTGTTACACTCTGAAGAAACTGCAGGATATTGAGTATCCCCTTAAGATTTCTATACTGAACATGTACAAATTTAGGCATTTTCTGTGATAAGACTGAACACATTCATCTTGTTTGAAGGACATAACAGAACTTAAAATGAAATAGAACTTATGAAAGTACTTTATTACATTCCCAAGAACAAGCTTCTTCACACGTCTCAGCATCAATAAATAATTCGACTGTCACCTGAGTCTGCTTCATCGGCTGCTTTCTGAGGCATCCAACTGAACGGCTAGGCTCTCCCTGGGCCCCTTCTTTTCGTAGCTACTGTACTGTGTGTTTCTCAGTAATGAGACAAAGCTTTATGACAATCATTTTCTGGATGGGGATGCAATTCAATGGACTAGCTACAGACTAAATATATACCCCAGAGGCTACTTGGAGGAAACTCACAGCCAAGAGGCTAAATTGATCAGGCATGCAGCGTCTTGTCTACTTAAGTTTGCCTTGTAATGGTCTTTGTCCCTGGTCTGGGCTCTGCTTCCCTTCCCACTGAGGCCACATCCTTCTCTAATACAGGAGCAAATACACTAAACTGATAATATGCCTAAGGTTTCAGGCCACAAATGGATTTTCTGACAAAAAGAACAGAATAGAATGCGTTGTAACTCCGGAGACCTCCCTTTCTCTAACTGCTGATCCAATTTCTTTGAATCGGAGATGCTAATTCCCAGGAGTCAAAGGAAACGCTACTAAAATAAATGGTTACAAAGTTGTGTGTATTGTGACTTTTGAGGGAAGAGACAGAAGATGAAGTCAGAAAACTTTATAAAAAGCAGATGAAAGTGTTAGAGGGAAATGTTTTTTTTTTTTAAACACATTATAATTATATTTTAGTAGGAAGCCATGCTAAACATTTTAGAAGAATAAATTTGATGAAAGGTAATGTTGATCATTTAAAGAATATTTCAAATCTTTATACACATTGCCTTCAGGAAAAAATCCAGCTCACAATGCAATTTAGTACAGATCACCTAGCACATACTGAAAACTTAAATAATATAAATACGATCTCATTGAATTCACGATGAGAGGCATGCTGAGTTAACCACTTTAACTCATTTTTTTTCCAATTTAATAGAAGTGTTTTTAAATTATCATTTTTAAACCTAAGAAACAGTCTTTTTTCTGTACTTGGACTGAATTAGATGTAACTACAGAATGAGGAATTTCAGTAAGAAAATATTGTTTTGTAAAAGAACTGCTTCCTCAAAACACATTTGCTTTATAATAGCTAAGTATGATCAATGTTTAGATATGACTATAAAAGTGTATACAATACAGCAAGACCGTTTTATTTCCCTATTAATGGATAGACGCTCCATTACACATTTTATAGTGAATTTTTAGAAGTTCTGTTACAAAAAGTCATAAGGGTATTACTAGGTACAATTGTCTTGGAGGTCTGTTGAAAATGAAACATTAAAATTGTACTTGAAACTATCTCATAAATGTAACTGGACAAGAATATAGGAAGCATTTAATCAATAGTATTTGCTTGCTTTACAAATTATGTTTTATGTTTAGCATTAGAAAGATGCAAAAAATGAATTTTTCTTAAATAATTGAATAATTGTGAGACATCCTAGGTAATTTATTACTTAGGTTCTGAGAATAAAAATAAATAAATGACATGTGACCTTGCTTTGTTATCTTTATACCTCATAAACCTGAAGTACAATTCTGAAACATTCTAAAATGCCATATTGTTAGTAAGTCTTTCAAGTTTGCTATTTTGACCCAAATCATACCTGGCCAAAAATTGTCAGCATGTGGTAATTTCAGTTCTTGTGAATTGATCACAGATACTGGAATGAAGGGTCTACAAAATTAGGATCTATATTTGAATCTAATATACTTAATGCCCTATAATGATCTAGATTCTGATGAAATTTCACCATCAAAAAATGGAGCTAAAAATTAAAAAAAAAATCTGCAGCAGAAATCCTAAGACAATTTGTAATTAAGTGAAGGTGGTTAACTGTTAGGATATAAAATAATATCTGGTAAAAAGTAGGTAGCTTTTAAATCATGTTAAATAAGATATAATATTTAGGGAAATGTTTTTGTGATTATTGTCATAATCTTTCTTTCGAAATTAGTACTGAAATTTTTACCATGCTAGCTTTTAGGGAGTACATTTTAGCTCCTGTTAGTAGAAAAGCTGTGATTTTCTAAAATACTTTCATTATAACAATATAAAATTTAGAGAATATACCTTAGGCTCAATTCAGATAGAGAAAAAGGAGTGAAAAATTATACCATATTACCATTACACAGGAAATGATGTGATATTTATAACAATATTTTTAAAAAGAAAAATTGATTTTGTGCAATTATACAAAATGTGACCTTTGGCATAATTCCACATTTCCCATAAAATATGTTGTACACTAATTACTATTATCTCTTTTTAACTACTGACAAGATCTCACATCAATGTCTTTTCTTCTCAGATCTTTTCACTGAATATAAGTATATACTGTGGTGATCACTTAGGGTTATTCAATATACAAAAGAAGTCTTACACATTGTAATGAATACAATTTAAACAAAATAGCACAACTAAACTGCATTGTTACTTAGATAATGGAATTTTGAAAATATCAGTAATAGTATAGAAAAATAGAGAAATGAAGGAACATGGTTTTCAACTGTGGTTTATTATATGCATATCAAATGGAAGTCTCAAAATCTTAATGGATTTAATCATATTAATTTGGCATACACATTGCAACTAATTTATTTGTAATTAGACATAGAGATTTGTACCATCATATAATGCAGCATTAGAGAAAATATTTAAACATAAAAATTATAAATGTAACATTGACAGTGTTACTAATAACAAATATATAGAGACAGACAGAAAATAAGCATGCTAAAATTTTCTTTGGCAAACGACTAGAAGTTAGTTTACAATTGGACAGAATCTAGGCTGACTTAATCCTTATTTTAAATACAAAACAACCAGACTTCAAAACTTACCAGAACATAACTGTCTTCAATGTACAAATTCATAAACAGGAGGAAAATTACAAGAACTCCTAAGAATGACACCATAGAACGTTTTCGCAAGCATCTCATCTTATCCAGTATTTGAAAACAATGTTTAATTTGATGAAATTTAATCATCTGTGAATGAACAGAAAACAGTTAATTTTGGATACAGTATTTGATATGTATGTGAGACATCAAGTTTTTATAGAATCTCACGTTTTTGTAGGAGCTTTTATAAAAATCAAGCTTTTAAATTATCTCATCCTTAAACATACAAACTACAATTCTATTTCCAATTTCATACAGAGGGTTTAAACTCTAGATTGTTGGAGACCACTATCCAGTGGCTCTGAGCAGGATTTAAAATTCACTAATTGGTTTCTATGTTTATCTGTGAGTCTGTCCTAGGCCTCGGCCCCTTGCCTGGTGATGGGAGCCGATCATAGTAAGTGAACCTCTACGAATCACTGGTCCTGGCTGAGACCTGTAGTGGCCTGTGAGACTAGAGATACCTCAAAGGGCAAGACAAGGCCACAGCTGAAGACACATTGACTCCAACTCTAATAAAGTAAATAGAGACTGCAGCTGAAGGAATTTCACTCCTGCAGTCGCACTCCTACCATAAATGTCAACTTGGGAGATAGGACAGTTCTCCTCAAGTGGCATAATGTACCAGGAGAAGTCTTTGAAATGACTCCCAAGGTCCTGCTCATTTCCCACACTTTCCTCAGCTTCCCCACCTTTTGTCCTTGGTCCTAATAAAAGTGGGCTGATCCAGAGATGTCTTTGGCTTAGCCCTTGGAGTCTCCAGCTCGACTAAAGGGTTTTGACCCTCCTGGAGCCCTAAAATCATATAACTTCTCTCAATTTATTAAACCTCCACCACACACTCATTTGGGAGATTGAGGATCTAGGTCAGGACTTGATACTAGATGATTGTATATATGATATACAGTATATGATATGACATATATTATATGTCAGATATATTAACAAATTCAATGTACTGGCCTATAGTGATGGAAAATAATTTTTTAAAAAACCCATGCCTTATGCTTTTTTGATGAATATTAAATTTGGTAAAAATAATATAAAGTAGGATATTTAATGAGAAAAATAACACAAGAACAAATGTTAATATCTATACTGTGATATGAGGAATAAAATAAACATTTATAAACAAAACAATTTATCTTCCATGTTGTAAGGTAATGAAAGAAAACTAACATAGACTTAATTTTAAAGCACAGAATAGATGGCACTGAAAATTTTTAACAGTTAATATGAGTAAAAGAAAGTAACAACAAAAATTAAGGATTGGAGAAAAGTCTGAGCAAATATTTAAGAAATTCTGAATTAAAATTGTCTTATTTTTCCAGTGAGTTTTGATACAGAAGCCCTGAGGTGGCAGAAATATACTGCTTTGCTTGATCTATTAAGTGAAAGGATGGCGGTTGGGGTAATTCATGGTCTACAGAAAAGAAAATGAAATTCAGAAAATATGCAGAAATTGACTACCAGTCTCCATTTCACTCTTGTACACACTGTGACATACTCGAATCACAAATTAACATATTATTTATCACTGGTTTTAAAAGTATAAACATGGTTGATTAACAAATGAGTCATTTTTCTGCCTAGCTATCTTTTAAAATTGTTAATTAACATAATACTTATACCTAGTATTTAAAACTCACCCAGTTAAAATGATCAGGTATGTTCAGGACAATATTGTCCACAACTAAGATAAAAACCATTCAAAGAGAAGAAAAAAATCAAGGACACAGAAGTTAGAATGAAAATGAAACTTTACTGTTCTGCTACCATTATGTTCAACAGGCTCAATATAGAGACAGAAAGAAAGAAAAGAAAATTCAGGAAAGAAATTGCAGATATAAAAAGATGGAAATAAAATTTCTAAGAAAATATGTATCTTAAAATAAAACATATTTCTTCACATTAAGCATGAATAAGAAATAGTGGAAAAAAAGATGAACCATTTAAGACACATCCATTTTTTCAACCAAAGTGAAAACTAAAAATTTAAGTTTACTTCTTCCTAGTTCCTGACTCACGAAACACGTGAGCAGGCTGGGCTTGGTTGTACATGCCTGTAATGTCAGCACTTGGGAGGCTGAGGCAGGAGGATTACTGTGAGTTTGAGTTCAGCCTTGGCTATATAGTGAGCTCAAGGACAGCTGGAACTACATGAGAACCTGTCTCATAATAAAAATAATTAGTAATAATAATGATGATAAAATAATAAAATAGAAGGTGAAAACAACAACAACAAAAGTGAGCTAATAAATACTGTAAGTGCAGAATAGTTTCACCGGTAACTATAGATAACTTTAAATAACTATAAGAAATCCATTTGGTTTACAAATAAAAATGAATTAATAATAGAAGAAAAGGAAAAAAATACTCTATACAAGCAAAGTGGTGGAGTGATGTATTTGTAACATTCAAAGTAAATGTTTAGTAAGTGATGAAGATATAAATTTTCACAAAAAGCATAAATATTCCATAACTAAGCATATATCAATAAAAGTTTTCAAAACAAATTAAACAAAAATAGTTACTAGTGAAAAGAGAGATACATAAGTACAAAATGATACCACCCCTCAGTAACTGATTGAATATATAAACAAAAAACAGTTAGTGGAAGATACTGCAGCAGTATCATAGCGATTTAATTGGATTTATGGAACATTTGGTAAATTAATATCAATATAGATTCTTTTTTTGTCTTTTTCCTTTGCTGTATTCTAAGGACATAGTCTGTGGCACAAGATAATTCAATAATTTAAAAATATACAAATGACCTGTATGTTCATTGATGACAACACAAGTTCATTAGAAAGATATGAAAATTTCTCAAATATTTGGACAGCAATCAATATTCTACTACACATTCTTTAAAACTTCTTAGGAAGTTTTTTTAAAAAAAATTTACCTGAAATAGAACTGCATGAAGTTGAAATATACAACATGCAATTTTGGGGTGATACATGAGGTACAATGTTTAAATAGTCAAAACAGTAAACAATAAATTTAGAAAAGAAACTTCAAAAATAAAATATCTCTGACCCTATATCAATAAATAAGAAAAGAAGTACAAACTAAGCTTTAGAAATGAGCAAAATAAAAATTAAGCAGAAAATAGACAAAAGAGAAAATCCACAACTAAGAATAAGAAAAATGAAAACAAATGCTAATCCTTCGAAAATATAATAGATGCTCTTAGTCAAATTAGCCATAAATGTTGACACAGTTACTGATATCAGGAATGAGACAAGTGACATCATTACATTATTATCAGTCGAAGATAATAAAGCATTTGGGGAAAAGACCCATCAAATTGGGTAACATAGGTTAAAATAGACACATTTGCTGTATTAACAAAGCTCACTAAAGAAATAGAATAATTTCCTATCTAATAAAAGAATAAAATTTTTAATAAAACAACAACAACAACAAAAAAAACCCACAAAAAGTGTCCACATGGCTTTACTAGTGATTTTACCAAATATTTCTAAGGAAAAAAAAATGTTTCTAAGCTCTTTCAAGCAGTACAACAAGAATATATAATTCCTACTCTCTGGAAGCATATTTATTAACTTCTTATTTGATATTTTAAGTGCCTGTTATAAATGTTAATAAAAATAGGTAACCCAAACATTATTTATTTAGATGTTGAACATATGCCCTTTAAAATATACAGTTTCACATCAGCTACTTCCAAATCTCTTGCTAGAACTTGGGCCATATCCATCTTGCAAGTTCTGCCTTCAGATTCCAATGCACTTGTAAAAGCCTGTTTCTGTTGTTACCTTTGCTGTCTCCTACAAGTGCAAGGATGTAGCACTTTTGCGAATTTGACAGCTCATACTTTTGTGGAAGCAGAGCAACCTTCCCATTTAGTTCAGTTTGACCATACATTTCCATTTGCACATTTAAATAGATTTATATTATATAATTCCTTCCAACTCTTTTTGTACACATGTCAGCCTACAACATCAATGGGTACTGATACTATTAAATGAAATTTGGTAACTAAACTTCATGAAAGTTGAATGAATACTGCTGCATATTCTTTTAGCAAAATTGGATAAAGTTCTTGTCAGTACTGTAAGATAGTCTTCCCTGTTAAATGATACTGTAAATGAAAATGTAATATTTATTTCTTCCCTTAGACATACTGTTCATTTATCTATGAACCCAAGATATTTTACACTTACCACGTTACTCTATCTTTTGCTATTTCTCTTTGCATTGATAGCGTTTTTCTTCACTCAAGCCTTAGCCATATTTATCAGAGTCAAACTAATTACCGTCATTGATCATGCTATACAAGGGCTTTGTTATAGCAAGAATTCTATTTGTTCACTTTATCTTAATTTGCCCAGCCTGCCTCCATATCAAGTCAGATGATCTTCAATATCTGATGCAGTCTGTCACTTATTGCTATCACACAATTAATAGCCGATCACTTCGGTGTACCTTCAGTAAGAATCAATTAGTTCCATTTATCAGTTACCAGAACTTTTTACACATACCCACGGATTTATAGCATGATTTTTGACTATACTTTCTTACTTACCCCTATTGTATTCAGAGTTGAGCCCAAATTATCTCCTGTACAGTAAAACCCCATGAATCCCCTTCAAGTCCCCTGATAAAGGATACCTTACCACAGTACAAATTATGACAAGTGTCATTGAATAATTTATTTAAAATGTTCAGTGCTCTGACTTAGATAGAATCAGATTCAACACTGGATCTCCAGAATTCTTACCCAAGATGCCAAATGCAAATTCTGAAATCCTTTACCTTCAATAGTGGATGTTTGATGGTGACTCCATTGGTGACTTCAACTTCTGAGCCAGAGCAGTGGATGATAGTCTGTTGAGGGAGAGTAAGGGTAGATTGTGATTCTTCGGATTCTGATTAGGCTCTAAAATCTGGACTAGAGCCCCAGAAAAACAAACTGAGTTTGAGTCTAGATTGTGGTTTGTAAGGAACTGAGTTCACTTCTAGTTTTCGAAAAAACAGTTGTTGGGCTGGAAGTCTGCCCTTCCAACTGCTGCAGTCAGCGATTGCTAGGAAAACAATTAAATACAGGATGCATAATTTATAGCATTATTTATAATGGCTACCCAAGAAGTCACATACAAAGAACATAGAGGAAATATGTTCACAAACAAGATCTAGAATATTTAGCCAAGGGCTTAAATCCCATGGCAAAATCCTGTATGAGTCCAACTGTCATGGTTTATGTCTGTGTTCCCCAGGCCTCATGAGTTTGAATTGTGCATTTGTTATTCGTTGATTGTCTACTGCTTGGATTGATGGTGTCAGTGATCCACCCACAAAGGGGTGGAGCCAGGATATGATGTAGTGGCAGGAAGAATCTGTGTCTTGCTCTTTGCCGGTTCCTGCTTGCTGTTGACAGCCGCCATGAACTGCAGCCCAGCCATGCCTGCCTGTCTTGGAGCCAACTGAGTGTGGACTAAAACCTCCAAAAACTGTAAGAAATAAACCTTTCTTTTCCCAACTTTGGGCTTCAGGTATTTTGTCTCAGCGATGAGTAAAAACTAAGACACCAACTGAAGACCTAGAGTCTATGACAATATCCCCTACAAGTACAGCTGGAGGCCTAGAGCACAGGACAATGACTCATGTAAGTCTATTTCATGGATAGGCCCTGGAGAGGTCCCAACATCAGTGGTGGAAGCTAGAAGGTTATGCCAGTGGGATGAAGGTTCTATGCCAGTATGCTGAGGATTCTGCACTGGAGCCAGGAAACAACACTCAAACTAAAAACCAGAGTTCCCCCCAAAAGTACTACAGCAATCCTCAGTGACAATGAGGTCTTGAGCTGCTTTGATGATAGGAACAGCTGAGTTCATATCAGGAAACCAGCATGACAAGCTTTTCCTGGAGACTGAGCAGCACATCTTCCCCTGTGGATCAAGGCAGCCACAAGGTAAGGACCAGAGTTCCTTGAAAGTGAACCACAGTCATTCTCAGCAACAACAAGATCCTGAGGTCCTTTTACAATGAGAACTGTCAAATTCATGTCAGGAAAGAAGCTCAATAAAGTCCTCCAGGGCAACTTATTAGAACAGGAGAATCAATTTCACCAAACAACAGCAACAACTCTTCCACTCCAGGTCTCCTTTTTATGGTGGCAACTACGTTCTTGTAGGCCATCTACACTCAGCACCATGCTGATTCAGTTCAACTGGTGTTTCAGTTGACCATCAGTTTTCAACCCACCACACTGACTCTTTTATTCAAGAAGGATTTACTGTTTCATTTCCAGGACCAGAATTTTTCCTAGTTCTTTAAAATATTTCTCTGATTCTCTTGAAAGTATTCCACAATAGATGGTAGAATTCTCATGTAGGACAAAAAGTATGAATCTTTAATCCTTTATCTTCATACATATGTAATACTCTTTCTCCTTTGTTAATTGAAATTTCTTTCTCAAACCTTTACTGGTTCTAGAAACTATACATTTCCTTTCTCAAACCTTTGGGTATCATGTTTTTTATAAGAATAAACTGGAATCAGTTCTGGCTGTGCTCAGAGAACAGTGAAGTTCCAAGCAAACAGGCAGGCACACACTGTCCCTGGAGCCCAGCCTGTCTGAGACCCTCACACCGTCTGGGTGCAGTGGAATGGTTAGGTGAGTCTGGGGTGCTTGCATCCACGTCCCTGTGTGTCTGGAGGACGGTGGACTTCTAAGCCGGCAGGCGGGCATCACCAGTTCCAGAGGCCCAGTGTCCAGGGGTAAGAGCCCCATGCACTCTCTCCTAAGCCCAGCTTGTTCAGGACCCTCGAGCCTGCAGAGTGTGGTGAAACAGCTAGGTGGGTCAGAAGCACCTATATCTGCCTCCCCATTCCAGCTGCGCTTGGAGAACTGTGGAATTCTAAGCAAGCAGGTGGGTGCCCACTGTCCTGGAGCCCAGCTTGTTTAGGACTGTGGAGTTCAAAGCAAGCAGGTGAGTGCCACAGGTTCCAGGGACCCAGTGGCCTGGGGAAACTGGGTGCCAGAGTTCCAGGAGCTGCGAACATAGAAGTGGTTTTCCAGCAGACCCTGAGGAAGCTTTAGAATAACAATTGAAACAGAAATATAGGAAAATGACAAAACGAAAGACCAAACTACAACCTCAAACTTCCAGCCCATCTCAAGAAACCCTAGGAGCAATGTATATAGAAGAAAATATATGCCATACACCTCAAATATCAGACATAATAGCTACTGAAATAAACAAGCAACTCTCGGAAGCTTTAAAGGAATTCAAACTTGAAATAATCTCCCAGGTAAAAGAAGAAATGATAAAAGAAATGAAAGATGCTGAACATATCTAAAGAAAACAGTTAAAAAATTGGAGGAACCAAAAAAAAAAAAAAGATAGAATCCCTAGATGAGCAATATAAGAAACAGAATATATAAAGCAGATACAAAGAGATATACAGGAAATCAAAAACTCCACTGAAAGCTGTAAAAACCACCTATATGAAAGTGAAGATAGAATTTCAAACCTTGAAGATGGATTGCAGCTAGTGAACAGCAAAGGAAAGATCTTTTAAAACTAACAAAGAATCAGGAAATAACAATTAAACAACTGCAAGATGACGCAAAGAAAAACAATGTAAGACTGATAGGGATTAATGAAAAAGAAGGGGACAACATAAAGGACATCAAGAGGATAATTTAGAGAAGTAATAGCTCAAAATTCCCCAAGCATGAAGTCAAAAACCGACATCAGGTTCAGTGAAGTATATAGAACTCCAAATATTCATAACCAGAATAAAACTACACCCAGACATATAAGAATCACCATCCCAGAAATCCAACACAAGAATAGATTATTAAATCTGTCAGAGAGAAAAGACAGATCACTTATAAAGGAAAACCTATCAAAATGACAGCAGACTTCTCAGCACAAACAATAAAGTCAAGAAGAGCATGGAGTGAAGTATTCCAGATCCTAAAGGAAAATGATTTCCACCCTAGAATGATGAACCCTGAAAAACTATCATTCAAAATCAATGGTGAAATAAGATACTTCTATGACAAAGAACAGCTGAAGAACTTCATGATCACCAAGCCAACCCTGCAAAAAATTTCGAAAGACAGTTTAGATACACAAAGGAAAAAACACTAAGCAAAGCAGATAATTAAACAGAAAAGAAAGATAAAAATGCAACAGCAGAAAGATAACATGTCAACAATAAACCAACATATAACAGTTGTAACCATTAATGTATATGGTCTCAATGTACCAATTAAAAGAAACAGACTGGTAGAATGGATCAAGAAACAAAATCCAACCATATGCTGTTTACAGGAAACCCATCTAACCCAAAAGGATACTCACAGACTGAAAGTCAAAGGATGAAAAACAATACTTCACACAACAGGAATCAAAAAAAAAAAAAAAAAAAAGCAAAAAAGCAGGAGTACCATTCTGTTTGCAGACAATGTGAACTTTAAACCAATAATGATCAGAAAAACAACGAAGGTCACTACATACTTGTTAGGGGAAAACTCCAAGAGGAAGAGATAACTATCTTAAATATATATATGTACCAAATTCCAAAGCACCCAGTTATATAAAACAAGTATTAACAGAAATGAAAAATCAAATTATCAGTTACACCATTGTAACAGGACACCCCTTAACACAACATTGACAACAAGGGACTGATCAACCAGACAAGAATCAGCAAAGAAATAACAGAACTGAATCACACCTGTGAACAAATGGACTAGATAGACATATATAGAGTGTTCCACCCAACAGCATCAGAATACACCTCTTCTCAGCAGTACATGGGTCATTCTCTAAAATAGACCATATATTAGCTCACAGAACATATTTAAATAAATGCAAAAGAGTTGAAATCATCCCTTGCATGTTATCGGATCATAGTGCTTTGAAATTAGAAATTAATGATAAAAGATACTGCAAAAATCCCACAAACACATGGAAACTGAATAGCACACTCTTGAGTAATCATTAGGTCACAGGGGAAATTAAAGAAGAAATTAAACAATACCTACAAGAAAATGAAAATACAGATACAATTTACTGGAACTTGTGGGATGCAATGAAAGCCGTCAGAGGAAAACTTATTGTACTGAGTTCCCACATCAGGAAAACAGAATGAATACAAGTAAACAATATGATGCTTCACCTCAAACAGCTAAAAAAAGAAGAGCAAGTCAAGCCCAAACCAAAAGAAGAGAGGAAATTATAAAAATCACAGCAGAAATCAACGCAATAGCAACTAAGAAAACAATCTAAGGAATCAATGAATCAAAGAGTTCGTTCTTCGAAATAATAAATAAAATTGATAAGCCCCTAGCCAACCTTATTAAGAAAAGGGAAGAAAAAGCTCAAATTCATGCAATAAGAAAAGAAAAAGGTGAAATCACTACAGACTGTATACAGAATCTCATCAACACCTATTTCAAAAATCTCTACTCTCAAAGATTAGATAACACAGAAGAAATAGACAGATTCCTAGAAACACATGAAGTACCAAAGCTGGATCAAGAGGATGTAAAACTGCCAAACAACCCAATCCCTATTAATGAAATTGAAAATGTAATTAAGTACTTATCTACAAAGAGCTCAGGCCCAGATGGATTCACTGCAGAATTCTACAAGAAATACAAAGAATACCTACTGCTGACACTCCTCAAACTATTCAATGAAATTGAAAGGGAAGTAAACCTTCCTAAGTTATTCCTAGAAGCACATATTACTCAAGTACCAAAATCTGAGAAAGACCCAACTAAAAAAGGGAACTATAGACCAATCTCCCTAATGAACACAGATGCAAAAATCCTCAATAAAATATTGGCAAATCATTAAAAAGATTAT